AGTCCTGAAGACAGTGTTTATCAATCTGGTCATGTAAGGCTTCAGTTCTTGTTATTTGAAAAACCTGCATGAATGTATATGAATTAACGTGTTTCTTCCTCTCTCTCCTCCCTTGTCTTTATATTTTATAGACATAAAGGCAGTTCTTTAAATCACCCTGACCACCTTGAGGCAGAGATTTCTTTTTTTCCACTCCTGCTTGAGGATGATGTCCACAGGTCGGTGTTCTGAACATGTCCACTGACTCACTGTCTACTCTGTGGCCAACTGTTAAAACCCTGAGAGAGATGAAATACAAGTAGTGTCCATTTACATTACGTTAAATACGTCCTGAATGGTGTCCAGTGGTCACCTTGGGGGTATAGCCTGGATCAGTTTCCAGGGTATTCATTTTAGACCTGAGGGCATATACTCCCTTGGTATTGTTGAAAAGCTCCGGCCATGTAACACAATTTAATTATACGGTAAAATGTGTAACTGTACACCGTGGAATTAATTGGATACAAGTAGATAGATTTCACTGGCAATAAGTTTGTTTATCCGGTTGGGGATGTTATGATATGTTTTCTATGGAAGGTACAATATGTGGTGCTAGAAAAACATGGTCTTTGACGGGGAATGAAGTTTAGTTGAATATTTTGTGGTTTTATAGGTCCTGTTGTATATGGGTTCAGGTGCTTGGTACATTTTAGCATCTTGGTCCTATGCACTGGCCATTTTTATTTGTTTTGTGATAAAACAGGCACATTTTGTCAGTTAACTGGACTTGTATTAATTTACTATGAGGCATTAAGGCTTCAATTTTTAGTTTTTAAGTATTGACCAAAATTTTGATCTTAATTTCTTTCATGAAAGTGACCCCAGACATCATGCCATCATATTTATTTTAGATCATTAGCCATCTTTCTGATTTTAGCAGTCTAAATTATAATCCCCAATACTTTCGAACTATTACTTTACCAGCAATAAAAAAGCCCTGTCCCCCCTCTCCCCCCCCCCCAAATAAAAGAAAAAAAAGAACCCCTAGTGTGATCATTTATGTGCAGACATCATATCATCAGACAGTTCCTTCCACCTGCACCATGAAAGCAGGGTTACATAGTCTGCTGCCTGTGTACACACGAAAACGTGCAGCTGCTTGCTCCGAGAAACCTTTCGTCTGAGGTCACTGGGGGAGTGAATGAAGTAATTTGTGATGAGGTATTGTTATGTCAACAAAATGGTGGTGCAGGTTTTCCACTGTCTGAACATGTATGGTTGCACAGGCTGGTGTGAAAGTGGCGTAACAAAAGAATGTACGACCTTTTCAGGGCCATTACATAGTGTCTGGGTTTTTTTCCTTTATGTGGACTCTGCATGAATGCATACTAGTACACAATTTCATAAACTGGGTTGCTTATGTGGATTATATAAATGTAGTAACTGAGAAATATTTAAGAATTTCATGGTATCTGTTATTTTCTTTTTCTTTTCTTCCAGACATTTTTCTTCTTGTAATGGGGGTATGGTAAGGGGGGCACCAAAGTTATGTAGTCAAAGTATTTTTACGTAAGTATTTTGTTGTCAAAACAGCCAGCAGTAGGAATGCCCTGTAGTTCCTCATATCTATGCTCTCCTCAAATAAAGAGAGAAAAACAAAAACAAAAAAAAAACATAATTTGTTAACACAATAATGACTTTTTTCTGTTTAAAAACCAAAAATCACACATGTACTCTCCAGCCCAGACATCTTAGATATGTACCATCCACGTGCAGGGCATTTAATGAACAATAAATACACAAAGGAAGAAAGCAGGCATCAGAAATGTGTGGTAAGAGTAAAGTATTCTGGTGTACTATGAGACTAAAGGCTCAGGTGAGAGGTTATCTCAATCATCTCCCTATTTCTGCCCCATTGTGGTAGTAAAGAGGTAGATTACACGGCTGGGTTGTCGTGGGCTGTGTGTGCGTGAAGAACCTGTGTTACCCTTTACAGGAGGAGGAGGGACAAAAGAAAAAACTGAATTGTATTAAAAACAAACTGTGTGTAGAACCTGTACTTTGCTTTGGCAGTGGTACCTGTAAGATGCCAATCAGTAAAGGGGATGGGGGGGGGGGAGAGACGAAAGATAAATATCTATAAATATTTGCCACCCTTTGGATATATCCAGAAATCACCAATGGCAGTTTTTTTTTTTTTTTTTTTTCAAATTTGTTGAGTAAACAGTAATTATGTGAAAGGAGAGGGTTCAAAAGCAAATTGATTAGAAATTGAATGAATACTACTCTCTCTCCACCACTCTCTCCTTCTCTCTCCTTCTCTCATTCCTTCTTTCTTTGTTACACTTTTCTGTTGAGCTGTTTATTTTGAAATGTGTGTTTTGCACACGCATATTTCTGGATGCGTATATTCATTCTTCTCTTTTTTTCTCTGTGCATGCATGTTGCTTTGCATGCGTGTGTTTGTTTGGCTATGCATGTGTATGTGTGCACACAATTAAGAGTCATGTGTCTCAACCCAAATGAAAGAGGGTATAGTCTCATTCCCAATGAAACTATCATTCTACATAGGTCTGTAGTTTCATTGGGAATCGGCCCTTACTGAACACACAGTGCCAGTGGGTTCTGCTCCAAATGGCACCACCATGGACCTGAAGTAAGACGAGGTGACAGAAGTGAGATCGGGGGATAGAAAACCACAAAGGAAATGAGGTCCTGCGGTCTACCACATCAATTCAAGGGGACACTTACTCACAAAGACTGCAGTATCAAGTACCCTATGTTAGAAAGACATTAAAACTAGTAATACCACTGCACAAATATTTGATATTTGAAAGAAGACAAAGAAAACGTCTTCAAACAAACATGTGGTTTTTGAAAGAGAAGAAATAGTACAGTATATTGTATTCACTGGCACAGGTTGTTATTAAGTCCAGTGATGAAATTTATATCTACATGCCCTTTTTTTTCTATTAAAAAATAGTAAGAAAAATGAGCGATCTTGAAGACTTTTTTGTTTTAGAAATTACCCCCACCCTCCTTTACAGTAAAATATTCTAACAATTTTAATGCCCCATATAGACATGTGCTGTTCTGACAGAAATCATTTTCAGTTTTGATATTTTGAAACAGGCACTTGCTTGCACCCCCCTTCAATTATGTAATCCTTAACCTTCTCGTCCTGCCCCCTACCATCTCAGTCATTGTCCAAAGAAGACCCTTTTGTGCCAATCTTTTATATATCAGACACACATTCAAGTCAAAAACACAGTGATACCACATCTTTAATAATAGATGCTCTTTCACAAGCCCCATGGAAATAATAAAAGGTTTAGTACAAACTGTCATTTCCTCCATCATCTATAGTCATAGAAAATAGGCAAATACACTTCAGTGCCCCTTAAATGTTTGACATCTAACAGAACCAAGTGGAACTCTCACCATGGCTTATGCTACATGTGTTAGAGTACTGAGTCAGAATATGCCCAAGGAAGATGTGTTGATGATAATAATAGCGATAATGATACTTTGTGACAAAAAAGAAGTGCATGGATATGATGAAAAATATGATACATGTTTTTAAGTAGTTTGGGAAACTCTCTCTCTCTCTCTCTCTCTCTCTCTCTCTCTCTCTCTCTCTCGTACACACACACAAACACACAGAGGAACACTGAGGAGTCCACTTTCATTCACCAGACACACATGGTAAAACTTATCCAAAAATACAGTCTAGGACACAAAAATGGGATCAAACCAATCCCATCAAATGACACAGTCTTTCAAAATACTCTTTTTATGCTGCCATTCCTCTTTTGTATTGTCAGAACCTACAAAAGTTACAAAAGTATTTTTTTCAAGCTTGACAGGGCTAAATGGGTGAACAGGGTGATATAGGTTCTAGTTTTATAGGTTTGATCCAGGAGATGAAAGAAAATGTACCCAGCGTGAAATAAGATGATGACTGCCTTTTGTCAGGAAGCAGATACATATCTGAACTCGGAACCTTCAATTTTATCAGTTTTACACAGGCGTTATACAGTAGAGTTGAGGAAGTAGCAACATTTTTTTTTCTGCATTTATTTTTTTTCCTGATGGCAAGGATCTCATGACATTGCTGCTAGAGCTTTCCTTTTTTATTTATTTAATTTTTTTTACATTTTTTATTTTTTTGTTTAATAATTTTTCTATTTATGAATCAATTATGTACTCATTTTTTGTTTATTTTATCTGTTTATTTATTTGCTGTAAAAGTGGAAGAGTCCCATTATTTACTCCTCCTCCGGTTAGGGAGGGGAGTAGCAGCTGTACCCAAATATCCTGTGAATGAAGTGGAAATGCATTGCATTTATAAAATCCTTGTTACTAAATTCCATGGTTCTATACCAAGCAAAGTGTATTTGTTTTTTAGATTTAGAGTGAAAGGTAACATCTGGTATGTCCAAACTCAAACAAGATTAACTGATTTATTTCTATTCAATTACTGTATTCTGTGGCCTGTATTTCATCAAGGAGTTATATCTGTTATAACTCCTTGATTTCATTCAGCATTTTTGATATTTCTGTGGAGTTGCCCCCTGTTTCTTCACTTCAGGTAATTCCCGCCTTAGACATGGCAAGGGAGGTTTTGGTTTTGATAAATAAATTACAGCTTTCATTCTGCAAGCAGTTTGAAATGTGTAACACTCAAGTTGTTACCCTTAGAAGGTCAATGTTTGGGAGAAAAGGGATGGACCAGATTTTGTAGTGAAAAGTTTAAACATCAAATTAGAGAAAGGAGACCTTATGAAGTGCAAACAATTCTTTGGCTTCTAGTGGTGCTGCCATCTTTTGGCAGCTTTAAGAATTTTCCAAATGTGAAGAATCCATTTCTTAGGTTGTGCTCTAAATGCCGGAGAAGACAAGTTTCCCTGTCATTGAATCTAATAATTAATTGAGTTTATTTGTTTTTGTTATTTATTAATGTTTATGTTCATACCAGTTTTTGCTGCCTAATTAAAAAAGTCCTGTTTCTTTGTTGAAAGGTTTACTCATTGGAGGCGGCTGTGTATTATACCCGAATGGCTGGAACAGCTGGGAGGTACAGCAGGCGTGTGGGGGGCTATCAGCAGCATATCAAATAGGTGAGATTTTTTTCTTGTTTGAAAATGATGGAAAACAGTTATTTTACATTAAATTGGTTCTGTTAAGGTGTGTGTGAGAGAGAGAGAGAGACTTAGTAAATGCATATTTGAAAAATTGTTATACTTGTTAAATTTGAATATGTGGTATTGTCAAATATGTAATCAAGGTGAAATGATTTTCAGATGAGAACTTTTAGAATTATGAAGTTGAAGAACATATCAATTTTCAGATTATTCTTTATAGCAAGACTTATTAGTAATTAGGATTCTTTTTTTTAACTTCAGGCACATGTTCATTCTCATGGGCATATTACCTCACAATAGCAGGTGCTGCCACCTCTATCCTCTGTACTTGTCTATCCTGTCATGCCAGTAAAGAAAAATATTATGGCAGTTATGGAATGTGACAGGTTTGAAACTGTCTCACCTATCGCAGTGAAGCTCTGGAATTTGACAGAATGTCTAAAAGTGTATCAACTGTAGCAATGAAGATATGGAATGTGAAAGAATTCAACTCAAATAGAAAAATGTGTGACAGTAATGGAGTGTGACAGAGTTAGAATTGCATCTCACCTATCGCATTTTGGATTGAACTCTCTCAGTGCAACCAAGAACATCATAATGTCACAGGTGTTCTTCAAGGTATTTCATAACTGTCTACAGGAGAGATGTGATTCTTCATACAGTTGACACACACCACGTAACAAAATGGAGATTTTACCACAAAAGATTATTATTACATAGTTGATAAGAATGTATAATGCAGTGCTCATATAGGAACATGAGATCGAGTTATTACTGAAGCAGTTATGGAATTTGAAAGTTGGTTTACAGGCTGTTCATCAAAGCCATCACTTGAAGATGTAATATTTATAAAGAAAACTTGGCAGAAAAGAATAGATTGCTACTTGAGGAGGAAGCATTTTTGTCTCACATTGCACAATGAACATCAACTTTTGTAAGAAAGGGGCCATAGCAATAGTCTGAAGGTTCAATAGTCCGAAGGTTCATCGGTCCGAATGTTCGGACCGATGAACCTTTGATTATAAAACTGATGAAAATGTAACCATTTTTCGGACCAGTGAAACTTCGGACTATCAAGACTCTCCCATAAGAAGCGTTATAATAAGGATAATGGAAATCTTCCATGCATCTGTGTGGAGCGTTGATGCTACGCACGGGCTACCATGTTCCTGCACATTCCTCCAGTTTCCGGTTTTCGTCAAGTTACAGACTTCCTACCTTTTGGTTTTACATCAGCCAATTTTTTACACTGATTTTGTTTTGGGGAAAAAAGATTACAGAGTGCCACATTTAGTACAATGGAAGTTATATTACATAAACACAGTGGGTATGTTCTGATGGAAATTGATTTGTTATGCACAATGATGAAAATTTAAAGACCCTCTATAAATTAGCTGTCAAACTGACATTGAACAGAGGAAGCAAACTCGATGGTTTTAGCTGTAACGTGGATGATAAATTATGTTTTTATATGAAAGATGGCAATTTGGAAGTTTCGATGTTGTTGTGGTCACATTGTTTATGCTTCTACCTTGAATGAAAGTAGAAATGTTTAGAAATGTTAATGTCAACACATCTTTCAGATTTTTCTTGATATCCACTTCTTGTTGAGACGTTACCTCATCTTCATCTGAATGTTTATTTGCCTTCTAATATTGTCATAATCAAATGCAGAACTTACATGATACTAAGATTTACATTAATTTAAAAAAGGAGTTCTTGTAATGCTTTTATTTGATATTTTATATATTTTTGATATCCCAGTGGACAAGTCATATAACATTTTAATTAATTAATTACTCTCCAACCAGAGGTTTCCCCAGGATTTGGGGTTCAGGAAGTCCAAAATGTGAATCTGTAATTTGGTCATCAATTTACAAGGAAGATATAGGGCATGTTTTGAGGCCAATGGTCGTCCAAATGACAAGTAGAAGTCTCTATGGGGAAAGCACGGTCTTCCAACTAAATGTAAAATTAGATAAGAAAACGTCGTCAAGTTTGAAACTTCTCAGTCCCTTTTCACAACAAATGATATACCTAAATTATTTAGGCTGTACTCGTTCACTTAAGGGGTTGACAACATGATGGCAACTCACTTGGAGCATAAGAATGATTTATTAAAGTAGTTATGGTTTTAATGAAGGGTATCCAGACTGTTGTTGCTAAGGCAGTATTCAAAACAGCAGGCCAACTTTTCCATGGATTAAATATGGCCGATTCACTTGAGTGCTTGTTGTGCAATTCCTACAGGGAATCTGTGCAGCGTCTATTAAGGAATTAGATGGCAAGCTTTTAAGTGAGTCGCCATATTTGATCCATATTGTTTATTATTATTATTATTATTATTTTATTTATTTTTCATTTATTTATTTATTTATTTTATTATTTTACTTATTTATTTATTTATTTTATTTATTTATTTATTTATGATTATTATCTTTTTTTTTTCGCAATAGCCAGGCTACTTAATTGCCAATCTCGCAAAAATAGTGCTACAGTTAATTAGTATACCACAAAATGTGAAAAAGGCCTTGGTCCAACTACATGTATTTCATGGAGTTTTATTTTTTGTTAATTCTAAAAATGTCTGTTAAGGACCAAACTCGTTTCTACCAACTTAAGCCAAATCTTTTGCACCATGTTTTGGAAAATGTGAGTAATCAGTTATGTCCCATTAATCATGTATTTATTGTTACATACCTGGATGTTGTAATTTGATATGTTTTAGATGTAAGATACTTCCCTTAAAATCGTGAAAGTTGTACATTTCTTTTAATTTCATAATGCCAAAAATCGAACTTGTTGCAATAATACTGGAATAGTAAAATAAAAACCAAAGTCATTGGCATATTTGTACATTTTGATATACGTATGTGTAGCATAGATTTTGATCTTGTGTCCATAAATTTAATATCTGTTAAAAACATGACATTGACTGGTGGCAAGTAAAAATTATCAATCAGACAATAACAATATCTGATGATGGCATAACTAAAGCATTTGATGCTATCTTGAAAGTCAATGGCATTTGGCTTTGCTTTCAGTCAAAGTTTTGTCTTGCAGAACTAAGCCAGTCTATTATTGTACATTGTCACTAATATAGAATATATTGAGTCACTAACAGTATTGTAACATTGTATTTTATGGTAATAGTGATGGAATGAGTAAGTAATATATGTTACTGTATGTTATAAAAACTAAAGATAACATAAGGAATGTAAGCCAAAAAGTAACAAATAATTTTATAGCAGATTATGTTTTTGTAAAACTGTTTAACTTTGGTGACCATAGCTGTCATTTTATTTGTAATTTGTATTACACAATCATAGTTGAAAAACTATAGTCACAACACCAAAAAGAGATTATGTTTAAGGTCCGTGCTGCCATCTGTTGTCGTCTAATGTGCTGCCACCTACATTGAAATACAAAATATGCACCAATAGTACAAACTTCTTTTAGATGCATGCCAGCATCACCTTATTTTGAAGTATATTTTTACAGTATTATTAGGTTTATATTGTTTGAACATGCGTGTTGTAAAATAGTTTTTATCGATACAGAAGAGCAGTCAGTTTGAGGTTGTTTTGTATTTGTTATACAATGGTACCCAGTAGCATGTCACTTGTTGACATCTACATGCGCTGTATTTAATGGCAAAAGTAGGCACTGCAGACATCTAAAGCATACTTTGGATGGTCTTCAGCCGTATGTACAAAATTCTTAATTATGTACACCTTACTTGTTACATGTAAATGTAAATATATCTGGTTCATTGTCAGCAAGAGTTATGTTTACCATCTAAGTTATTTTGTAAAGAATAAATGTGTTCACCATTTGAAACCCTTTTATGTGTATTTGTGTCATTTATTTTACTTGAATGCAAGAAAAATGGTTGCCATTGTTGATATTTTGATATTGATCCCACCCCTTCCTGTGTATTTTAGTTGGCAGTAAGTGGAAACGCACCCCACCATGTTTTGAAACAGTCAATCGTAAGGCAAATTACATTTTGATTTATTTTATACCATATACATTCTTATCTACCAATGTCCAGGGTACCTTGCTTTTGTTATGTCATTTTTTTCAAATCTGCCTTATAGGTCCACGAAATCTAATCTTGATCTAAGCCCATTTAATTTGCTCAGAATCTTTAATTATTTGACTACATGATTCCTTTCATAAACATATTAACACCTTTGATTTTCTTCGTCGCTAAAGATGTTCTATTTAAATAACACGTGCATTTACTTGTTCATATTTATATAGTTTTCAGGGGATCCAGAATTATTTTTTAAAAAAAGGAGGGGGCAAATGCGAATTAAGTCAACACCCCCCACCCCCCTTGGTGTGGTTCGGGGTGGCTGGAAGACCCCGAAAAATATTGTTACTTAAGAGGGTGTACGTTGCCATTTGGTACGGTTTAGAACTATGATTCAGTCAAAATTCTAATTTCAAGAGGGGACCATTGGTGTGATGTTTTTCAGATATCGAGGGGGGTCAAGAAAAAATCATTCTTACACCGAAAAAATATGGGCAAATTTAAACTATTGCCATTGCAGAAGTTTTTTGTAAGTTGAATCAGAATATTTCCACTTTCTACTTTTTCAGTTTAAATTTCAAATTGGAAGACTTCATATGAATTAAGGTCGTCAAACATAAATCAATTTGCGCTAGCAAGCACTGAAACCTTTTGAAGATAGACCTGTATTATATTTTAGTAATTAAAACCACTGAGAGAATACGTGACCTTTTGCAACACCACTCAATTCTGATAATTAATTAATAAATGATTAATGGTCAACCGCGAAGATCTAGATTCCTTCTTTAAGAACCGCCATGTTCACGTGTATGTTGTCCTATCCTGACATTCCAATCCATTTTGGGGGAAAATAGTCCTCATGGTTGGTGCGCCACCACAAGTAAGTGCCAGGTTTGGGCCAGTCTTTATAGTAAACCACGTCTCCCCCGGCCAACCACGCGCCCCACCAAGAAAAGGTACCCACCGACATTATGGTGTGGTTACAACTTCCTAAGAGAGCTAAACTCAGTATGGGGTCGTTGAATGGGTTGTATCGGATTCGTGGGTGCTGAATATTCTTTTTGCACCAAGACATATCATCAGACAGTACAATAAATAGGATGTTTTTGTAGATATTCTCAAAGTACCGCATGGCTTTGGTGTAGTAACTAGATGGCGCCACATTATAACCATGTTTATATGCGTTCGTAGGCATGTCTTTCCAATTCCGGGCATGGATTCCAATATACGTTACTTTCTCCCTTTTGTTGTTCATCCCAAGTTCTAGTAACGCAGTGTCAAAGAAAGCATTGATTTCTCTGCGGAACTCTGCCTCCTTTCGGAAACGAAAATGTTGCTTTAGATCATCTTCGACATTGTGGAAATATTTCCAGGACTGCAAATAATACAATAACTGTACCGATTGTCCGTTCTTGTACAATGTCTCCGTCCTGTTATCATAAAATGCGTATTTCTTCTCGTGGAATTTCACAAGTTTAACACCAGGTGGTAAAGAGCGGGGAATATAATCCGGAATTTGAAATACTCCTCGTACCTCTGCGTTTTCAAGCAGGACCGGAGTCATGTTGTTACGTTTTCCAATTCCATACATTGACGCAAACTGAAACATACGGTTACCCGTGCGACCAGAAACCCCTGTCATGATGAAAAGTCTCGTAGAATTAATCCAATGTTTTGATCTTTTTTCCAGCTCTGCTTCCATGTCTGGTGAAACAAAACGGTGCGCTTCACGCATATTTTGTTCAGATTCAGTTTTCGTCTTCAGTCTATTTGGTTTGATTTTAAGGACCAAATCTTCTCTGTCCAAAGATCCTGGAGATGTGTTCGGAATTTTGTTTGGCGTGGAGCTTTTGCCTCGGAGGTGACTTTGTGTCGTGTCAGAACCCCAATTTCGTGGCGTAAAGTTTTCTTCTCTACCAGTTAGCAGCGCCGTTTCAGTTTTCAGGAGTGATTCGCTAGTTTCCGTCTCTGGGGGATGGAAATTGCCGACACGTATAAATGTGTGAGTGTACCAGACCATTACTATCAAACCAGTTGCTCCGAAAATCACTAAAATCCGAACTATTTTTGCTGCTGTCGCCATTCTTTTTGCTTTCAAAGTGAAATTTAACCAAAGCTTATGCGGGTTAGTCAATATGATTCGCGAGACGCATTTTAGGATTGTAACCAACTATTATAAATTATACACATCTGTAGGTTTAATGAACAGAAATGTGCCTGCGGACGCCAATGAGATTAAAAACCCTAGCTTCCCTGCTTGAAACCGCTTTGCATAGAATGATTGTATTTTATCACTTTTCTTTCTTTTTTTTTTTTTTTTGCCGAATTGTGACTTGAAACCACAAAACACTTTGTAAAGTTATTATTATTTATTATTTTTTTTTTTACATGGGCATTTCCTTCACTGTACAAATCTCTACCTCCATAACAAGGCTGATTAAAAACTAGAACCGAAAAAAGTGTTTGTGGGTCGTAATTCTGTAAACGGGGTAGTATAGGGTTGGCCTTGATGATGATGATGATGAATAGTAAAGAGCTGAAATCTCCAGGCAAATTAAAACTTTGCCATGTAAATGCCTAAATCTCATTGATTCCAGTGAAATGAGCTAATATCCAAGCTCGGTTGTATCCCGTATATACGTGTGATATAAAGCTTCACAGAACCTGCATTCATTTAAATAAATAAGGACAGACATCATTAAAAGTAATCATATATTGAATTATATTAT